GAAATCTTGAGATATCTAATTTCTAACCGTATGTTGAAAAATCAACCGTGTGTTCTTGGCCATCTGCGTGGCTAAGGGACCGCGTGAAGGCTTCCTACTCTGAGAAGCAAGAGTACGAGACCGAAACTGATGGCATTGAGATGGAGCTGAACATGACTGAGCCGCTTGAAGGCAAGGTTTCATCCCAGCTTGGTGTACAAGATTGTTGGGGTGTTAGACCGAAGGGTTGCATTCCATATCTTGGATTTGCACAGGGTGAAATTCCAAACGCCTTCTCCTCCCTATACCCCATGCAGTCCTCAATTGTTCTCTTTGATTCGCATTTCCTGTCCTGGCAGGTGGAGGAGGCAACTATGATGCTTCCCAGGACACCGCTATCCACCTTCGCTTCAGGAGAATTTGAAAACATTGAAACGATTGGGGTACCCAGACACTGAACAGGCGGATAAGCGGTCCCAGTTGCTTCCCAAAGTTGTGACAAGCTTGACCAAACGTTTGGGCAAACTGGATGAGCTCAAGACGGAGATGGGCTCAGCAGAAACAAATTCAACCATTTTTTTGAAGAGCCCTGTTTGCATACATTACTTGTTGGGCGCCAAACCCACCAGTGGAATAGCACATATGCTGCATGCATGCTAAAAGGAAACGTTGTTCTCAATCACATGCCAGCTTTTTGCCCTGGCAATATCTAAGGATGAAAGACAAGGTGTCCGACATGTATTCAAGGATGGATACACTTTCGGATTCCATGAACAACCTCCACAACCAGATTATCCTAGAAGGGCCCTCTGAGAAGTGTGAAACCTAGTAATACTTGTTTGCTACAGTATAGGTATATATATATATATACCAGCAAGAATTTTGTTTGGGTCACCCAGGCGAGAGGCTGATCTCAAGAAAATTTTGGATGAAGCCAGAACCCTGTCCTGCTCCAAGACATTTGCATTAACAATACTGATCTTAAAGCTCAAACATTGGTCCCCTTTCTCCCTTGGCGCCTCTTCCTCCTCAGTCGCTTCCCTTTTCCAAGGCTCCTGGAGTCATGGAGCTTGGAGCAACGTGCCAGGAGTGAGTTTGACGGCCGGTTGGTGTGGGGCCTTTTTTGGTTGATGGTCAAGAGAAGTGATGAACCCACATGTATGCATATTCTATGTCTTTTTTTACGATATCAATTAAACAAATTTTTGTGCCCACTGCGAATCAGGACGGTGATTCCCAAGAAAGCTCTTCCCAAATCGAAGCCGGCTGCGAAACCGAAGCCGAAACCGAAAGCAAAAGCGCAAGCCAGTGAGCCGGAGGAGAAAGCACCCCAGCCAAGCAGGAAAAGTAGGAGAGTCAAGTAAATTGACATGTGCTTGAGAAAAGACCCAACTGCGTCACATCAAGTCCGCTCTGCTGCAAAGGTGAAAAAAGTTTGGACTGCACAGGTTCATGAACTTCTCTGATGTCCATTGCGCAACAGAACTTGTTAGATGTCATTTTGATCTACTCGGCATATATCACAAAATACTATATTGCCATAACATATATATATAGTATGTTATATATATATAGTATGTTATATATATATATATGACTCAGTTCCAGCCAGGTGAACAGCAAGCCAGCACCCGTGCTCTAGAAGCATTAGCGGAAGATGTGGCTGAGGGTGCCGGGCCCTTGGCAAACATATGTCCTTTACCTTCTGATGGAAAGCCCTCAACAAAACTCTCTCCCATCATTGGGCTTTGGGTTTTAGACAGACTTGGCCCGGCTCAGGCTCCTGCTCGTCAGCTTGGCACCATGGCCAGGGCTTGCCTGGCGGATGGTTCGAGGAATGCTGCAATGTTCAGTGCTGCCCAGCAGAAACCCAAGAATAGTGAAAGGGATGCCCACAATATCTTCAAAAGATATTGGTTGTCACTGCGGGTTCCAATTAGCTATCTTGAAGTGCCTCCCCAAGATGATGGTATATGTACTACTATCCCTTGCTACAAGGCGGGTTGTGGCTTTCGGGTGACTGATTTGTGCAAATTTGTTGAAACGGTTATGGTTGATAATGTTTACTATTCATAATCATTTTGGTGGTATTTTCATTTTGGGGTATTCTCACCTAATTTTAAATTAATTTCGGAATGTAAATAACCCCCTGGGAGGTGAAAGATATGGCAAGCTTCCTCCTGGCGAAACACCCGGAGTTGTTGCTGGGTGGAGACAGTGTGGGCCCTGCTGCATACAGGCGCTGCGAAACTTTTTGGCAACGATTTCGAAACACGCAACCAGACCATGCTGTCTACAAACGCTTTGGGGCGGAAGAACTTTAAAGAGTAATCCCAGTATGCATGCATGGGGACAAAGGCCGAACGCTGAAAAAGTCCCCTATAGCAGTTTTTTCTTTCGAGGCTGTATGGGGGTTACCGGAAGGTTTGCGCCAATGTGCTGTAGAACCTGACATGAAAAGGAAAAATGAGAAATATGAGTATGGTCACCTACTAGCCCAAACATGTCCAGAACGAAGGGCTTCCCTTTCAGTGTCGCGGCCCACCCTGGACCCGCATGGGGCCTGCCCATGCACCATTGATCTTCGACGTCAAGGGGCTTCCATGGACGAAGTGCAAACGCACAACACGTTGGGCAACTTGCGCTTGGCTTTGGCCCGGGTTGATGTTAAGCTAAATACTATTCCAATGTGAGGTTTCCTAAAATCGTGGTTCCCCAAAACATCTATTTTGAGAAGACTTTCCGATTTCCATTCTGAACTATCCGTGTTGGGTACCCCCATTTTAGGACACCTTCAAAGTGCATCAGCAGTTTCACCGTCTCAAATAGTTATAATATGTTCTAAAAGCCTTCCCCAATATCTATATGGTGTTCGTTTGGGGACTGTGTAAACCCACAAAGTTACCGTGATGTAGATGTAGTTTTAACCACAACAATGAAACATATTTAAAAAAAAATGTAGTAAGATCCTAGATCCCAAAAGGTTTTTTCCGGGGAAAAAGGTGATAATGACCTGATTTGGGTTATTGGATTTACAGTTCGAAACTAAGGACATTCCTACTTATCCAGGTTTTTGATTACCGCTGTGCCCTGGTCTGTATTCTCAACAAACTCCAAGATCCTGCCGGAAGTTTTGAGGGACATAGCCAAATGCTTTTGTCTTCTTTTTGAAGAAGGGCTGGAAATAAATGGTGAAAGGTTCCACTTTGCGATGATTGGTTGCAAAGGAGATGCTGAATTTCATGTGGACGCGGGTGAATTTTTGAGATCATACCAAACTGTTGGAACTGTGAAAGACCTTGCGATGTGCCCATACTGTGACGCTTCTACAAGCAATTTCGGGGATGTTAGCGACTCTCCTTGCTGGCTAGACAGTGTTACTTGTCTGGAATTAACATCAGTTTAAATGCGTGTCTTCCGAGAAAAAATATGTTGGGGAAATAACAATACATAATGTTTGGGTATCATTTATTTGGGTGATGATACAGTCAATGTAAGGTTGGGGCATCTGTTCCTTGGGACACTTTGTCGCCGCCACCATTGAGCCAGATTCCATTCAGCGATTCTTTTCCAGCAAACCTGTACAAAAGAGACATGTTCCACATCGTGAAGCATGAGGTGGGACGAGAGGTGGCAGCCTCGGTTTTGATCCTTCTTGCTCACCTGGCCTACTTTGATTCGGAAGATGATACCAGAAACATTGTAGATAGACTTCACCGGGGCTACATGTTTTTCAAGCTGTGGTGCTTGGCGAACAGCAAAACTCCATCTCTGAAAAATTTCACCAAAGCAAATCTTCATATGACTGGTTCGCCTTTCCCTTATCTTGGAGGAAAGGGATCGGACACTACGTTGGTGCTTATGTTTCTGCAATTTTTCATTCCTATGTGCCAGCGCGAGATGAAACATCCTGATCATCGGGATATATTGAGTGCAGTCATGCAGTTGACCGAGAGCCTTCTGAATTTTATTTCCCTGCAGTACAGCCATGACCTTTGGTTGCCTACAACATGTGCTGAGTTCATGTATCTAGAGGGTCTGGTGGCGCTGCGCGCATACAACTATGCTGCCCAACATGGGATGGATATAGGAAAACCTTTGTTTGGCCTAAGGCCAAAGTTCCATTCTCTGGCGGAAACCGTTTTTGAAACGAAAATGTGTGTGGCCAATGGTCATCCTTACATTTTGACGCCGCTCGTGTTTTCATGCGAGGGCAATGAAGATTTCATTGGACGAGTGGCAAGAATATCTCGGCGTGTTAGCAGTAGAACTTGTACGCTGCGCACATTGCAGCGATACGGTGTGGCTTTCCAATCCAAATTGCGTCGACTTAAAAAAGTCAAGAAGCTCAACCTCTACACAAAGTGAAAAGACTGTACAAGGATTTGTGGCATCACCTGTGTTCCTTTTTGTTGGGACTATTTCGGACTGGAACATGTGGAAGGAGCTTTGTTACTTTTTTTGGGATATGTACCCAAAATCAGGTTATTGTCACCTTTTTCCCCGGAAAAAACCTTTGTTACTAAAATTTCGCAACGTTGTGGATCTAGGTATCTATCTATCTGTTCAAAGAACCCGGAAATCATTCTGAAGTCCACCATCCAAAATGGCCCTACTTTGGACTCGGAATTTTGAATGTGCTGCGACCACTCGGTGACACGTTCTCAGCTCCGCCAAGTTCTGGGGAAAAGCTTGAGCTGACATCTCAAGCCAAATTCAATTTGGTAAAATTAATTAGTGCAAGGATTAGCCCAATTCTGTGGGCATGATTTACTTATCAATCTGGCTGCACTACAAGAATTCACTAACCTGAAAATAGCCAGCTTTGGGTATGTTCCCCTTACAATTCCCATCATTCCAGTGACGTCATCATTGAGGTCATGATCAAGTTCATCCAGATATTGTCCCTTTATATCCCAGTTACTATCACCATTCTACTACCAGTACCATTTCCGCCCATTTCTGTTGCTTAAATCCCAATTTTCTGTGATAAATCACCAATTCATCCAAGATCAATGGCTTCAAACCCTGTCCCGGCGGATCTCCTTCACCGCAGTAGGCAGGGAGAAGAACTGCTTTGCCAGGCGGTGGAGATGCTCGATCTCCTCCGAGACAATACCGTGGCCCTCCAGGTAGAAAAAACCCACACTACCTGAGGACGCAATGGTGGGGCTGTGGGCCCCACTTAGTCCAACAAAAACTACTTGGATTAACGATATTAATGGAAGATCCCCACTGGATTATATATGGGATGAAATATGGGTTACATATGAATATATCTATCTATCTATCTATCTATCTATCTATCTATCTATCTATCTATATCTGTGTGTGTGTGTGGATTATAAACCACTTACTAAGTGGGGCCCGCACATCCAAGCTGGGAGAAGGACGCAACCGTCGTGTTACCTACCGGAGGATCCAAGGAATCCAAGGTGGCACGCCGGGAGATGGTGGCTTTTCCAGCCACAGTTGATTTTTCAGCAAAGTTCTGTCTAACTGCTATGGGGTATGAATCTTGTAAAGGTGAAAAATGCTGCTAAAAATGACATGTTTGCTGTTTGCCTGAAGAGTTGGATACAACTGTTTGCCATATTTTTTCAGCAAATGTCAGACAGTTCGTGTGGTTGTTGCATCTGATTTTCAGGAATGACTGTTGAAATATGGTTGACATTAAATTATTGTGAAACATTTGACATGTGTTCAAAACCCTCTGCCATTCCATTATTCTGATTGGTTAGAAGGGATTCCCAGCTCATCGATTATGATAAGCCCCAATCAACCATCATTGATCACTTCTGTCATATGTCCCCACATGACTGATGCTTAAAAGCCCTAATGTGGCAACCCAATGCCATATAGACGATCCCCAAAATCACCATGTTTATGGCTTGTATAAACTATCCCCACCTGGTAGTTGTTTATGGCATTGGGTTTCTCACATTATAAATGATCAATTTCGACTAGGTAAGTCATCATAAATCATCTATACATGGGCAATCTATACCATGGCTATGTCAAATAACTTGATGGTGTATCTGTATATCCATCGGTATATCCCATAAATATCCATTTTAGTATTGAAACATATTGAAACCCATGGTTTTGCAAATTCCCCCATTTTAACAAAGCACCCATCTAAGCTACAAATGATCGATTTCCTCATTCTGCCAAGCATCTGCAGGCGTCATCCAGAGCCCGGGCCGCTTCTATGCGATCGGTTTCACCGAAGCCAGGGCCCATGAAGGGCGACAGGTCCAGCACTGGCAGACTGAAGCCACCACCTGGCGGTGAAGGCGTGGCGTTGAACTGCCAAGGGGACATGAGAGAAACGAACTAGCCCAAATCATGGTTACCATATGATGAAATAGATATGATTGATAGATGTTTTGATATCAAGCATCAATGGATTCAATGGATTGAGTTTTGATATATTGCCAAAAACTCTGGGGGAAACCATGAGTTTAGCCCGGAACATCGAGGAGTCCAATTTTTTCCCTTCAACCCCTCTTGGGCAGCTGGCATCTATAATTCAGGTGGTATTTAAACTAATATGAAAGTTGATTAGTTGATGTGTGTGGGCCCATCAATCATCTGAGGCTGCTCTGGAATGACCCGAAAACCAACGAGCTTGTACCCCTTTACGGCTGGCCGGGAAGGGGAAACCTTCAGCAAGAGCCGTGCCTCCTCTTGGTATCAAATACCTCCCACAAGACCCTGACCCTCTATACAGTCATGTTGAAGTCCTTAGGTTTTATTTGCTATGAGTGGTGCCTAGATCCTAACTAAGTTGCAGCGTAAACATGCAAAACTTTTGCAGCATAAACGTGCAAAAAGCAATGGCAACTCACCCAAGTGCAACCACTTAGGAAGTGATCCTCACCTGAAGCAATGCTTCGGAAGGGTTTCGACGGATGCGCGCAAGGCATGGTCCGCCGGTATTGGAGCAGTCGCGCCATGGCTGTGAATGGCCGAACGCCGAACGCCATGGTTCTAGGCAGATGTGTGTAATCTGGCAGCCCCAATGCCATAGACATAGCACATGGGGATGGGTTTTCCACCTCTGTATGGTAATATATGTGTATAATATGTTTATATTATATATATATATATATATTCCGGAGATAGTTTGTAGTTAGGTTTGCCACCGTAGTTTTTTGGGGGAGAAGATGGTGCCAAAATGCTGTACATGTGAAAGCCCATGTCATGCTGGAATGTCATGCTGGAAATTGATGGATCCAGGGCTCCAAACCACTGGCAGCTGCAGCTGAGACAATGCAAACCATGGAAATGGACTGAGCCCATGCAGACCCCATCTGCCACTTGTCTGGCCATCAAGTGGCGCTGGTTGAACTTCCACCAACCCGCCAACCAGCTAAATCCGCCAATCGTTACCACCACCCCTCCAGCCACCTTGTTGCTGGTCTTGACCCAACAGTAGGGGTCAGACGTCCCATACATCCAATCCTGAGCACGAGCGCTGCCATGTCGATTTGGAAACCCTTAGGGGTGCCAGCTCCAACCTCGTGTACATGCAGATCAGTGCATATGGAGGTTTCCTAAAATAGGGCTACCCCCAGATCATCCATTTTAATGGGAATTTCCCGTATAAAACATCCATTTTGGGGTACTCCCATTTATGGAAAACCCCAAATACTGTATGCATATATGTATATTATATATATATATATGTGTGTGTGTGTGTTTGTGTGTATGTATACATATATATATATATATATGTGTGTGTGTGTATTGACCCATTGTGGGGCGTCGCTAACATCCTTTCAGGTCCGGCATGGCTAAGTAGGACTACTGATATAGATATATATATATATAGATGATATAGAGAGATCCATGCGATGTCAACGTATGCCTTTGCAGGTGCTTGGAGCTCTACTTCTCCCGGTTGCCAAAATAAACCGGACGGATAGTTGTTGACCCATGTTGACCCCACTTCCAAAGCAGGAAAAAATGGCTGCTGTCAATCCCAACCTCTCCTTTTCGTATTGTAAAATCCTGCTGTGGCCCAACCGGTGACGCCTGTATAAACAGGGCCAGGCACCGCATCTCGCAAGTTCTTGGCGGAGAAAATCGTCACCTCGATGGTGTACTCCTTGCGAAACATCGGGAAAGAAGAAGAGCAAATTCAATTGCTATCGGGCTTGGCAGCCGCTTTCACTGATATAGTTGTGGAAATTCCTGGGTGCGTAGGAATATTTTACTCCAACCACTATTTATGGGTCAAAATCTCCAACCTACAATAAAACCTACAAGTCTCAGTTCAACTCTAACTTTGCCAAACATGCCGTACTAATCTGACCCTGTCATGTGCAAAGCTACCTCCATGGTCCACAAGGACTATCCGTGACATCCTCCTTGACCTTCGGCGGAGCTGCATTGCCCTCCCCGTTGCCAGCGTTGCCGGCGTTGCCGGCGTTCCCCGCGGCCTGATGGAATGGGTCCAACAATCCCAGGGTTGGTTTAAGGAGAAAACCCACAGAAAACGGTATTTTGTTAATGCAATTTGTCCAGGGAAACATACAGTTCCGGCAAGAATGTTCGTCTCATTCTGGGACACGGGGTTCGTGACTTCTCACTGTGGCCTTCTCAGGGTTGCTTGGAACCAGATCGCCGGCGGTGTCGGAGAAGCCTCAAGCAGTTCACCCAAATTATTTGAATGTGTCTAAGGCAGGGGCCAAATGGCAATTTTCGTAGGCAAATTCAAAATTGTGATAAACCATTGATTTTGATGGTACTCAATTTTTAGACAAACCAATATCAGATAGAATGCCATCGGGGAGGAAGACATACGGAAGCAGCTAAGCAAGCGTAAGACATCATGTTCACGAGCATACTGCCCTGCATTCATATTGTGTATAGTTGATGTTAGCGCATATCTTCATATTTACCTTTATTATCTATTCATGTCTACTTTATCTGCAGTCTATATACCGAAATCATGGCTGAAACTGCCAGCAAGTTCCAAGAAATCTCCCTTTCAGGCACGGAGCGGAACTGCAAGCGCCGCAAGAAACCGTCATTCAACACCACCCTGGCCACAAAAGCTCGCTGAAAACGCTTCAGAAGGTTTCAAAATGTGGTAATTGCATGTAATTGCTACTGGCATCAGGGGCTTCGGAGAAATATAGGGGCTTTTCTACTGCAACCTGTGCAACCGGCAACCTTCAAACTTGCCATGCGCCCTTCCACTGCAACCTGCAAGCCCTATGTTTTCCAATGGCTTTTGGGACTGCACCCAGCCATAGATCGTTGGATGCCAAGGTGCTTCTTCCTGACGAAGAGCTCCTGCACCCCACTGTGATCCATTCAGATCTATGTCAATGTGGCAATGTGATTCCAGGATATACATATGCCACCATATGCCCACCATGGATCAAAAATGAAGCCACCATGGATATACAATGTCCACCAAGCCAATGTCCTTGGCTCATCTTGGCTCTACAAATATACTTTTTTGTCGCAGGCCCGATTTCTCCTGATCGATTTCCAGAATCCACGGCTCGCCCTGGGGAAATTCCTCCTGACGGGAAATTCATGGTGCCTTTGAGATGCGGTGAATCCAAAACGATGGATGTCGGTGATAGCCACAATGAAATCAAATGAAATCAAATGACAAATACACAAACGAATCTTCACCGACTTCCAAACAACTGGAATCATGAAGCACAGCACACTCACAGAAATCAGCTCAGTTGCATCTTCATATTCATCGTCGCCCTCCAACAACTGGCACATGGCCTCAGTGAACTGGTGAACCACCAAGACAAGGTCATCTTTCGGCTGGCTTCTCAGTGAAACCCACCACCTGTGCAATTGGATAAGATCAATCACCAAGTCAGAGGGCTGGCTTCGCAACGGTGACAGCTCCTTTGCAGCCCGGCCATATCCCGTCCGTATCCGTCGGGAAAGCCGCCGAGGGGCATAGATTGAGGCGTCATGTCCAACAACCAAGATGCTCTTGCCCATTTGGAGCATGGGTGTGATGTTATCCTTGGATCACAAGGGCACGGTCATCAGGTGATCCCAGCTCAGCCCGAGCTAAATGACGATATGTTGTTCAGGACGTAGACTCAGTCAAGATGTGACTTTCAGTTGTGGTCACAACCAACCTCAAACGTTTGGATGGTCATCCCACCGTTGATACATGTGGATGCTGATTCTGATTGAGTAGTCTCACTTGGCACATTTATGTACATAAGCAATCAAACAACAATCAAACAGCATCATGAAGCCCTGCACTGTACACATTCAGCAAGCCCAGCTTATCAGGGAGCCACCCAGGTGACTCTTTGCCAAGGGACGCTCAAGAGCGGCAGCACGCGATCGAAGACATTCCTTGGCTCCGAATTGCATGGCATGGGCGCACTCAACATGAAAACATCTGGAGCCCCTTGCTATATGTGAAAGGATCAAAGATGATCAAAGTATAGGTTCTGGAGTTGTTGTGAGTGCAAGAACCTGTCACGTCCTGTCACTGGCCCCGAGGCACCTCATGGACTCGGACCCAGGTTGAAGCGTCTGCGGGATAGCCCTGCAGGTCGTGGCGCCAAGTCGAACGGAAGGTGCTCTAAGGCAGCCCATGCCACATTGTCCCCGTCAAGGAATGCATGAAATTCAACTTTAGATATCTTTAGATGTCTTCTCAGCCAGAACCATCCGGATGTGCCCGGCCCAACCTGTACAGCGGATCTTGCATAGGATGTTGAACATTGCTGTGCTCCAAAGGCGGAGGCGCATCCTTCATCCAATTCTTGAGGTGCTCCTTCCGGTGCCCACATGACCCAAAGTGTTGATTTTCTTGACACATCAAGTCTAAGCCTGCTAAATGCTAAACACATCAATGGATTTCACATTTTCCGGAAGCAATGCCATGCCCATCTTTCCCCTGCACCAGGCATCCCATGCCAAGTCCTTGTCGTAGCTCTGCTCCAAATCTTTTTCACTTCGGCCTTGCAACTTCCCCCAGTGCCGGTCGTTGAGGCGATAGGACTTGTATTGCCTCAGCCATCGGGCCATGCGGCCATGCGGCCATGCGGTCATGACTTGGGCGGGCTGGGGTGCCCATGCTGCGAATTCTCCAAGTGGCGGGACGGCCAAATCATGACCCTCCATCAAGGCAGTCCATGCAGTGTAAACGGCCTGCACAGGTGGGTGGTCTAGAAGGTGAGGCCCCCCAGCAATAAGTTGCTTTGGACATCCATATGTAACTATAGTTATATCCCCCATAAACCCTAGTTAACCAAGTTACAAGTCAACTTGGCTATCTAGGGGGCCTCACCCTGTATGTTTTCAACTACGGTAAAAAAAACCTGTCTCAGAGCTCCCAGGCTTGTAGATATTGACTTTGTGGCCTGCTTTTGCACGGAAGTGAAGACTGCGTCAAATTGGATTCCGCTCTGCGACCTGAGCCGAAGGTTGAAAACAGTAAACTAAAAACCACCATGAAGATCGGAGGGAAACCACCCAACACTCACCCACCATGGGTGTGATTTTTGGAAGCTTATGGCACACTTATGGCATCCCCGTGGCCCTCTCCGTTTGACGCTCCAATCTGCCAAGAAAGCTGATTGCAGCCAGGCAGCATCAGTTTGCCCGCCTTTGGCAATAGGGCAAATGCGAAAACACAGCAGCCACAGGGACTGGTGGAGTGATTGGGGGAAATCTCAGTGGAAACCCATGTCATGGCTCAAAAAATGCAGCACAATGAAAACCAACAGGAAGGAACACCGGAATCTGGCACAGGCGACCGCCTAGCAGCCCCGCCCTGCCGCCTTCTTTGCTTGCTCGATGCCTTTTGGGCTGAGTCCATCTTGACCCCAGCCCACTTTCTGCGTCCCCTGTCCACAATCAGAGGAACATAGGCCGAAGAAAATAGGCTTGGGATGCAAAAATTATGTCTACAGTTTCACAGCATAAGTTGGTGGAAGCCTCACTCCTTGCCCATCAAACCCAAACCCCGTGACACCTTCGCTTGTAACTCCGACTCGCCCGCAGGCAGGAGGACCTGGGTTGGAACAAGTGGGTCTGGCCCCCAAAATCTTGGTAGATTTGGGCTGGCACATTATAGTTGACCCGTTGACCCCCTTGAAAGCTGCAGGCCTGTGATGAAGCTGACAATTGCCTTGGGGAAAAATTTCCCCAACCATCCCAACCGACCCGAGAAGTAGCAGGCAGCTGCGGTCCAGGGACAACGAAAATGGGGGGAGCGTCCGTGGCCACCTTTGGGCCCTCCGCCGGGGTAGGCTGTTTTTTTGGAGGAATCATGACTCCAACTTTTGGTTTGGGCCAAGGCCGAGTCGGGCAAGGGAATGCTGTCCTCCAAGTGCAACATAACATGTGGATGTGGGTCAAAAGTCGGTACCCAAAGCTCAGATGCTATACTTACTACCTCAGTGCACAAATCTTGGGTGTTCTTGGTCCAAATTTTGATCATAACTGTGCCCATGTCAAATTTCACTGCATGAACTTCAACACATTATCTGCCAATGACCACTAGTTTGGGACTATTCAAGGTTGCTGCCTTGAGAGGGGAGGGGCTGCCCAAATGTAACTCAGTAGCCTTGTGTTGGTGCTTCAAACCATGGTAATCTCCGGTCAACGTGCACCCGTTATATACACTATAATGTGGTTGGGAAATTCTTAGTAGTTTCTTGGCTCCCCACTCAATAGCGAAAATGGATACACATACCTCCTGAGCTCCCTCCCAACCTCCGGATAGTACACAGGTCTATCTACCCTATCGGGGAAAGTTCAAAAACCCTTGCCAAGCTTCCTACCTCCAAGACCTGCTGGGGTACCCACAATGGTGTTATAAAAATACAAAAAATAAAGAACTTTGCATTGTCCATCAAAGGTCATCTGCGTGACCTTTGCATATGCCACCCGCGTGCTTTTTCCTTGGATGTGCCCATGGTAGTTTTTCAATATGTATACATATATACACATATACCTGTACATAGTCATCGTTATATTTATTCGTAGTTTTACCTATTTGTTTGCATATCTACATTTGGAAATATCGCATCTCATCCTGCTGAATGCACCTCAAAGTTGACGTTGTCGTCTCTCTGGCCTCAGCATTCAATGTGAGGCAACATGGCCTTGGGACTCCCCTCCCATCATTGTCGTCCTACTGCTCATCCTCGCAATGGCGATTGCGGCACAATCACCACCCGCTACCACAAGCTTCGTCGTCGTCGTCATTGTCATCATCATCATCACCACCACCACCATCATCACCATCATCATCATCATCATCATCATCACCTCGCCGTCGTAATCCTCATCATCATCATCATCATCGTCGTCGTCGTCGTCGTCGTCGTCATCGTCGTCATCATCATCATTGCCATCATCACCATCATAATCATCATATTCCTCCTCATCATCATCATCATCATCGTCGTCATCATCATCATCCTCCTCATCATCATCATCATCATCATCATCATCATCATCATCACCGTCATCATCATGATCATCATCGGCATCATCATCATATTCCTCCTCCTCATCATCATCATCATCATCAGCAGCAGCATCATCGTCATCATCATCATGTTTATCATCATCACCACCATCATCGTCAACAACATCATCATGTTCATTGTCATCACCACCATCATTGTCATCATCATCACCATCAACATCATCATCATCATCATCACCATCATCATCAACAACAACATCATTATCATCATCATCCTCATCATCACCAGCATCGTCGTCATCATCATTGCCATCATCACCATCATAATCATCATCTTCCTCCTCCTCATCATCATCATCATCGTCGTCATCATCATCATCATCATTGAAGGTAGCGATGGAGCTACACAAATGCATCTCCAACTGAAGGGGATGCATTGCGTTGAACACCCAACAACTGCAAACAGATGTTGCATGTCGGGCATTTTTCCGGCAGCAAATGCTAGGCAAATACATATGTTTTTTTTGCCGGCATCGTTCCTATCTTCACAGCACAGTCTGAGCACCAAACCAACCAACCAACAAAACCACTGACCGGCAGTGCCCAGTGCAATCCACCTGACACTCACAGACCAGGGAGTGAGTAGATTTCGGCTGGTGCGCCTGTGGGTCCTTCCTGTGGGTCCTTCCCATGTGCCTTAAGCATCACTTACCATGACTTTCCTAGGGCCTAGAAGACAACCCTGGTGAAACCTGGTAACAAGAATTGGAAAATTTGATAAAATTTGGAAAGGGCTAGTGTCACCTCAAACTGTCCACTTTTTGTCTTCGTGCTCTGAGTCGTGCGGTGGTCAAGTCGTGCTTCAGCGGGCGGCCGTGTGACCGGGCATGGCCAGGAACTCGTCGTGTTGTGGCCCACAGCGTCGCCCAGCGGAGGAGTCTTCGGCGCAACTTCTGCGAAGAGGAGAGCTGCTCCTCACTGCAAAGCATACTGCACCAAACTATGGTAAAATGAAAGGATTCCCAACATCAAAATCTGAAACCACCCGAATCTTCCATACGCCAGAATGTCCCTGGACTTTCTTCTTCTTGAATCGTTCAACTGATCCCGCCACCTTGTCTAGCCGAGTTTCTCAGTGATTCGCCTTCAAGACCAACTGAAGTTAGAATGGACTGGCAGTATTCACACTCTCCGCCTCCGACTCATAGGTTGACCTGAAGATTTTGGGGCAGCGCAGGCTTGAGGTGGCTCAGAGCTATGTCTTCTTTGAGAGGTCAACGATTTACTGTATCAGCTCTGAAGTCACGGCTGAACCGGTAGCCTCCACGGTGCAAAAACCTTCTTCAACCCATCATTCTTTTCACCAACAACTTACGAATGTAGTCAGATGTACTGTGGTATCTTAGGCGAGTTTGCAAAGAGATATATAGAATGTAAAATTGATCTGCTTCAACTAATCAAGCTATGCATGTGTGTATTATGTGCATGTACATATCGTACTTTATATGCATGCATGCATGCATATCTATTATTAGTATTATCGTTATTATTATTATATATTATCATATTATAATTAAATGATGATGTTACATTACATATGATATCATATATGCTCATATTATATCATATATTATACTATATTATGTTACATTATTTTTTACTAGTTTATATTATATTCTATTATATCATGTTGTGTTGTATTTCATTATAATACAATTATATTATATCATATTATAAAACATTATGTTGTTATGTTCTATTATGTTATATTATGCTCAAGTGTATTATATCATATTCAATTATATCAAAATATATTTTGTTGTATTATATTATATTAATATTTCTATATATATATATGTATATTAAAGCATATTATATTCTATTATATTAAACGATGTGACATGATGTTATATCATATCAAATCATATTATATTATATCATATATATTATATTATATTATATTATATTATATTATATTCTGCTCCGCTATATGGTATTATATTGTCTTGTATTGTATTGTATTAATTATATAACGTGCGTGTCACAGTGCGTATAGATAGATAGAGACATAGAGACATAGAGACATAGAGACATAGACAGATAGAAAGATAGATAGATAGATAGATAGATAGATAGGTAGATAGATAGATAGATTGATTGATTAATAGATAGATAGATTGGATGGATAGATTGGATGGATAGATGGATGAATCGATGGATGGATAGATGGATAGATGAATAGATGGATAGATGGATAGATGGATAGATACAGATTAACGCGTGTATGCATGTGCAAATATGTACACAGGCACGCATGCATGCATGCATGCATGCATGCATGCATAGACAGCAGGCAGGCAGACAGGCGGACAGATATGTAGATAGATAGACAAACAGACGGACAGACAGATAGACAGTGATATACAAGAGGATAATATAATATATTTATCCATAATATAGATAGTGATTATACCATATACTATATTATACCATATAGATAGGCAACTGCCAGGAACAGATTACCAGCTGTCATAAGCTTCACAAATGGCGAGGCACAACCTGGCACGCAGGTTTGTCACTCCATTGCTAGCAGTCGGACTCGGCGCAGCATTGGCGTGGAACACCTCAACAGGGCCCAGCACTTGGCAAATCATTCCACTTACTTATCCCACATATGGGTGTTTCCTAAAATGGGGGATGCCCTAAACCATGGGTGTCAATGCTAGAATATGCTACAGAGGTCGAATGACTTGGATGATTTGGGCGTACCTCTATAGTTTTATTGCTTTTGACTACACGTGCTCTTTTTCTTAGCAGTTGCTAAGCGTCAAGTGGGATGATCCTCTGAAACTTGAGATGGTCTGCTCCTCTCCATGTTAGATTTTCTATGCACACATGGTGGCCAATATGATCTTTAGGCGGGGAGCGATTGAGATCGAAGCCGACAATCTGGCGCAAATCAACGGATCAGCTTTTGTGGCTTTGGTGCAAAATTCTGAACTCCGTTGAAGCACCACCTTCTTCAACAGAGTCATGGCTCACAGCCAAGACACCGTCATGGCTATCTCCGATCTATCTTGACCACGGGACCTCTCATGCATCGGCTCGCACTGCACCTGCCCGCGCAGTGAGGCATTCCCACTATCCTCGGCTATAGCCACGTCTCGCGCAAAAGCCTGCAGGGCTGGGCTCACTGAAATACCTGCTTAATGCTACTTCTAATCCCCAGCTTGTACCCTGCCCAACCAGATTTCCCCAGAACCCCAGCCTCAAGGCTGGCGTACACCGCCGCGGCATAAGAGGTCGCCAGGTTCAAAAAAAGGGAGAGGCAGAGCAATGGTTGCGCTCGGGCATGGGCCTGGCTTTACCAGATTCAGGCACCAGTTCACCTTAGAGGAGCGCCTGTTATACTGGTGCAAACCCATATTTTTGTAGGTACACTTACTCAGGTCCATTGGGTGCACATTTAGGTATGGGGGGGAGAGGGGGAGAGAGAGAGAGAGCTCATCAAATGTCGATTTACAACTTGTAGGGTCCGAATTTGTGGCATCGAACCCGTGTATCAACTCGGTCCAATGGCCTGCAGCAGATACGATAGCCCCGCCAAGCAGGTGTTCAGTGCACTCCGCAGGGCCAGTTGGGAGTGCAGGCGGCTGGGCTGATGCATTAGCACGGATGCAAGACCTTGTGGAAAACCCTGGCAATGCTGAAAGTTTCACGCCAAAATAGGCCACGATATTTCACGGGGAATGTGATGATTAAGCAATGCATTTGGGGTGTACCCATGATCGGACACGCCGATGTTGAGTCAATGGAAACAAAGGCAGCTAGGAACGCAGGCAGCCAGGTCGCCCACAGCAGTGGAGAGCGCCGGAGCGAAAGGTGTCGGCAGAAGCAGCCAGAGACAAAAGGCCCCCCTGCCGCAGAGTCTCCAAAGGCTGTACGCCACCAGGGCGCAAACCATGCCATCCAGCAAGATCAAGGTCCTTGGCACAGGATCGAAAACCCTACAAATGGATGGTTCCCAAGAAGGGGTAGCTCCAAATCATCCAATATATCCAATTCAATGTCAAACCTGTTGAAACCCAGTGGACTTAGGGTACCCCACCAAAAGTTGGGAGATACCCATTTCTCCTTGGTCTTTTTGTACCAGGTGGTGTCCTCCATGCGTTGGTTTATAAGCCTCATGCACTGGTTCGATATAGCTAGCCATTTGGCATGGAAGCTGCCACGCTGGCCATCTGGATATTCTTTGGAGAGCATCCACACAATCTTGATTGACTAAATAAATATTCGTATGGCTGTGGATCAAAACCCTGGTGCCCAAGGTTGATCCCCTCGAAAAGGAAACTTTGCACGAAAAAAACCGTTCAGCACCGAGCGTCAGGAACAGGACCGAGACCAGAAATGCCAGGATTTGGCTCTGTATGGAGCAAACCTGACGAAAAGCGCCAAGTCTTCAGGCATTTGATCATCTGCATGTGACAGGATGGTTGGAAAATGTCGGAAACTGGAAAGGACCTCGTTCTATCTCGTTCTTGAGGGGTATGCCAAGGTGGGGGCTATAGCAACTTGATCTTTGGTTGGGGGTTAACGGTCAGACTCAAGCTGGGAAGTCCACGACAGGAACACGGGAGGAATGAGAAGCAGGATGCAGTGCAAGATATCATCGCTGATAGAAATGTTGAGGACACGAGGCAGATCTACTACGGTGATCATCCGACGACTTGCAAGTGGTTTCAAAAGAGCCCAGCAACCGATTAAGAAGTTCCTATAGTGCAGGACCTTTTTTTCAACCCTCACCCAAGCACCCGAAACTCCAATCACTGCATCCACCCGCAACCCTTCAAATCCGAGAGTCCCAGGGCGACAGCATCTGAAACTTTAGATGGTCCACCCTCCTTCGTATCCACTCTCCCACAGATGCACTGCCTTCCTCCTCCTTCAACAGCGACGTGCTGCTTCCCGTGCTCCCACTGGTCAAATCCAACATGCCACTGTAGCCGGATGCCTCGATCATGGTCCAAACCGGCTCGGGCACCAGTGACATCATTTAACATTGACCAGGTCTTACCAGTTCATCGGTGAAGGTAGACCTCTGAAACACCTCGTTTCTCTTTTCAGTGATTGGATGTAAGTCTGACAACCAGCAGTGACCAGCCTAGCAGTCAATCAAGAATTCTGCACTGTACATCATCAACGTCACCTCCATAGGTGGCTAAGTCTGTCGCTAGAACTTCAGTGGACATGATTGGACGTTACTAACAATGGAAGAATCAAGGAAAAAAACAAACACTTCAACAACCAAACTCTAAAATTCCAATTGATAAACCCTAAACTTTCGAAACCTAAAGGCGATGCTTGGTCTAAATTTTCGATGTGTGGGCGTAAAGTTACTCAAGGCAGCCCACGAGCCTGTCGCTCCCCTTGCAGGTTGCTTAGCTCCGCTGGGGCCACAAGCAGGCCCTGGACATTTCGCACCATCTCAGTGTCGCCTTGCCATGCGGATCTCTGGTAGCCAGCAGGGTATGCAGTGCTACAAGGGGTTCACAGATATGCACCCATGTGGCTCCCATATGCCAGAGAAATCATGGATGGGGTATATAAAATGTATTAAAATGTTCAAATACATGTTGGTTGATACGAAATAGTAATTCCAAATATGAAAACCAGAAAATCATAGAAAATCATGCATTTCCTATGCGATTCACAAAAAGGCACGGCTTTTGAAAATCAAGTGCTCCAACCTATTTCAAAAATTCCCACTAATTTGGGCGCGACTTTAGCAACTTTCTGTACAGGTTGATTCATGCCCCGCTGCCCACCTGAATCCCCATGTGGGAAGACCAGGCAGAGCTTCCAGTCCACATCGGTGGTCGTCGTCGCGACAGAGTTTTCTTCCGCCACTGGAATCTGTCGGACCTCGGGACCCGCAAGTCACGTATCACCTCCGTGTGCGGTGCAACATGTTCGTGCATGCAAAAGAATGCACATACGAAAACAGGTAGATCATGCAATCAATAAATCATCCACATATTCCAATCAATGAAAAAATACCTAAGGCCTATAGACTATACATCTGATTGTCATATCTCTGGAAACTCAATTCGTAACTCCTGAGCTCCCCATTCGAATCGCTCCCTCCATTCACCACTAGACACTGGATAGCTGAATCATCCAATTCTTGCCATCATTGCCTTATTTTACCCTCTGGTGATCAACGTGGCAATTGGAAATCCTCGTTTTAATGGTGTTTATAGCTGGGAGAATCATCTATAATTCTCTAATTGGAGGATGTTTCCATCATGTTTGATTACCAAAGGGTATTGAAGATCATTCTTCGAGAGGGATAACAGATCCTGCTTAATACCCGAGATTTATAACTGGGTTCAAAACCTACCATATTTATGAGAAACATCAACCAGCTATGCCTTAGGGTACTAAGCACCATAGATGTTACTAGGTCAGGTATGAATTAGGGTACTAAACACCATTTGGCCTTAAATCAGTGTTTAGCACCTATCAACCATTATCAAACAAAACAAAATGGTTCGTACCAAATCAATCCAAATCACCTATTAGGTCCTAAATTGTGAGGTTAAACACCATCCATCAATTAGCCCGCCAACACATCCAGACCATCCTCCAGCCGCGGCACCAACTCATTGAAGGACGCCCTCACCGACCCCGCGGTGCCGTCGGCCTCGCTGATCCCGCGCCGCGCCGCGGGCGCTGTCAGGCGCAGCACCTGCACCGCCGCGGCCTGGCCCATGCGGAGGCTGCAGCGGCGCACCTGGGGAAACCGAACTGATGGGAAGATGCCAAGGGAAGATACTAGAGATATGAAAAGTGATCTAATAGAGATACATGATCGAAGGCAGGTTAGAAGTCAAACTTCCGACAATATGGACAGATGGAAAAGCAGAGGTGGGAAGAGTCAGAGAGGAGAAGAGCCGAAGTGAGGAAGTCTCGCAAAATTGCTTCGTTTTTGACGTTGTCAAATTCAAAAGTTGAGGAAGTCTCGCAGAATTGCTTCGTTTTTGACGTTGTCAACTTCAAAAACTGAGGAAGTCTAGCTTTGTTTTCAATAAGCGTGCAGATAGATAGATAGACAGATAGATTAGATTAGATTAGATTAGATTAGATTCGATTAGATTAGATTAGATTGGATTAGATTAGATTAGATTAGATTGGATTGGATTAGATAGATAGATAGCTAAGATAAGATTAGATTAGATTAGATTAGCTTAGCTTAGATTAGATTAGATAGATAGATAGACAGACAGACAGATAGACAGACAGATAGACAGATAACAGATAGATAGATAGATAGATAGATAGACAACCACAACTACAACTACAACTACAACTACATTACACTACACTACACTACACTACGCTAACTACACTACACTACACTGCACTCCACTACACCACACTACACGACACTCAATTACACTACACTACACTACAACTACAAATACAACTACACTACATTACACTGCACTCCACTTCACTTCACTACACAACACTACACTACACTACAACTACCACTACCACTACAACTACAACTACACTACATTACACTACACTCCACCTCACTTCACTACACAACGCTATACTACACTACCTACAACTACCACTACCACTACAACTACAGCTACAACTACAACTACAACTACATTACACTATATACACCAATTACATTTGCACTACACTACAATACATTACACTACACTACACTCCACTTCGCTTCACTACACTAACTACAGACTACAGCTACAACTACAACTACGCTACCTTACACTACACCACACTAGACTACACTACACTACCCTACATTACATTACATTACACTACACTCACTACACCACCACAAATGCAACTGCAACTACACTACACTAATTACACTACACCACAACTACAACTCCACTACACTACAACTACAACTACAGCTGCGCTACACCACACTACATCCAGCAGTTGTGGGTGAGGTGACCACTGCAACCATTGCAACCATCCCAAAAAACACAGCTCCAACCACCTTTCGGTCCATCAGTGGATTCGTTCTGCAATCCGTGATTCACAACAACCAACCTCTCCTATAGGTTTCCTATTTTTGAAACTTCCGCCACCGCCTTGTGCGGTACTACTGGTATCTGATTCTATGATAAAGAGATATTTTCAGAGATATAAAGAGGGAATGCAGTCGAACAAATAGTCCAACTATGTCCAACTAACTGGGTGGCACCACCTTGTTGGATCCAATACCTCCATATGGCAGATATCCCCCTTAGGGGGGGCACCAATAAAAGCCACACATTATCTACTGAATACTCCATTCTTGGGTCTAAATCATTTTGAGCCATTGCCATTTGCTTATATACTTGGTGTGTTGGTGGGTAGATGTCTCGCATCTTTTTCAAGGGGTGTAATTCATGTTTGTTTTTCCGTGTGCATAGTGAATTGTTGGAAAGGTTGATATCAGGTATCAGTGGCAACAGAATGATGGATCCCTGAAAGTCCTCTTGGAGCCATGGTGATTTTCATGGCCTGACATTCTTCGAGTGCTTTTTGGGAATAACTTCGTTTTGACAACCGTGGTGGGCTTTGGCAGATTGTTAAGGGTTGTACAAGCAAACGGGAAGGCAATACAAACGACACAACACAAGTACCATCGCCATGCATCAGCGAATGGGTAGCACTTGGATAATAAATGTGCATCCATAGGTATGGCTAGTAAATGGTTTCATGATGTTTATGGTGTAGCCGAGTGAAGTGATGGGTAGGAAATGGTGCTACTGCATAGCTGGCGACATCTGGTGCCTTTGGGGATCAACCATAAGCTGTCTGGCTCCACGACTGGCACATGACATTTGGTGATACAACTACCTAACTAAGTGGCCCATAGCCCCACCCCCACATCCACAACCTAAAGCTGGCGTATCTTTGGGATTACATCCTCAATGAAATTCACATGGCTGTGTCTGATAACGGGATGCTCCAAAATCCTATGGTTGATCATCATTTTCCCGCTGAATTGGTGACAGTTCGTTATTTTCTTGGTGGTAAATCATGGTGAGAATTCTCATGTTTCCAAAAGGAACTCCAAGCCCAACTGCAACTGCACCTCACGATCCAGCAACTGCAGCGCAGGCGGGTACGCACCCGCTGACATCAGTTCAGAGTGTGGAACCAGGCGACTGAAGAGGTTGAAGGTGCAAATCAAGGAATAGATGGCCTTCAAGGTGCCAGGATCTGTCAGGAAAACCCACCTCGAAACTTAAAACCCTGATGCGCCTGAGCGGCCTGGGCATGGGCAGCAACTGGCTGTGGGGTTTGTGCCAAACCCAGCAACCTCAACGCTGCATGAAGCAAACCAGTTGCGAGGAAAAAGGTGACACGAAGGGTGTAAGCCACACAACAAGATCAACAAGTTACAGGCACATCGGTTTGTTTTACAATAGGGTACCCCATTCCATCCCCTGGTGAAACATGGCTAAGCCCAGCTACAAAGGATCCGCCACGTTGAGCTCAAATGGCGCTTCCCAGGTTCCCAAGCCCCGCGCCACAAACAACCTCAGTTGTTAACAAAAAATGCCGGGAGAATCACATCTTCCAGATCTTCCATATCAGTGAGGTTTCCTAAGTCGTAGGGGGTACCCCGAATCCAAGCCATGGATGACCATGACTTAGTAACACTTAGTATTGAAACCAATGGTGACATATGGTGACTATCTTACCAGGTCTTACCACCTAGTCCGGCCACCAAGCCGCTGCTCAGCATCCGCAGGTGCCCAATCCACCAGGGACCTGGTCAGATCGAAGATATCCAGGTGCCCCGCGATGGCCGCGTCGTCGCAGCCGAAGCGCAACGCATGGGCCTTGGAGCCTCGGTGTCCCAGCGTTCGGTGGCCCAGGTTGGACCGAGGGGGTCCCTGGTGGATGCAGCAGTTCTTCTCTTGGCCCTGGTGGACCGAGGGGAAGATCATCCGCTTCTTACGATTCTTCTTTCAGCCCTTGAACTTGGATGGTTTCGCTATCTTCATTTACTTTGGCCTATACCGTGAGTTTTTTTCAGATGATTTTGGCCCTGATTTTGACTTGAATTTTTCTATCGCCTTGCACCTCTTGCCGCGCGGTCACGGCATTGAAACTAGGTGCTTTGGCTCCAGATGACACCCGAGCTAAACTCTACGTTGCCGTGCAGCCGTCAAAATGTTATGATTTTGAACATCAAACCCTCGATAATCTGTATGGCTTAATTTACTGTGAATTAATTCATTTGATCTGAAAGTCCATTGCTGTCTAAGTCTACCAATACGTCTTTTTCCTATTTCAACGGGTTCTGCGCTGTCTGGTTGGTATGTAACCTGCCTTAAGGGGTCACTGTTTGGCGACCGAAGGATGTGCCCAGTGAGTTTAATTCTTCTCTCATCAAGTAGTTCAGTGAATGGTTTGACACAACCATTACCTGATGGGAATGCGATGTCCGAAGCTGTTTGATAAACTCGCTGGTTGGTATTCTGCCTGTTTACATACGTTGTTTGCATTCGCAGTATTTTTCTGAGGCCTCGCAAATGAAACGCATCCAGTTTCTTTCGTAAAGTACCCGTAAGATGTACCGTTTCCAAACTGTATAACAACTTGCTTCTGATTACTGCGTCATAGATCAACAACTTCCATTTGGGATTGGAGCTGGGGTCTTTCCATAATGAATCAAGTCTCAGCCAAGTCCTCTTGGTGTCTTGGATGCGTTGCGAAACTTCACGCGCTATGTTCACTGCGTAATTCAAATTATTGCCCAAGTAAGTTGCATCATGAGTTTTATTGAGGGGGGTTCCGTCACGAAAATGAATAATCGCTTCATGGTACATGTGAATGGAATGGCATTTGCTTCTGTTTATTTTTAATCCATAATGCTCAGAACATTCCTCTATATGAAGCAACAATTCGTTCAGGGCACTAGGTCACTAGGTTGGGTTGAAAATAAAATAGTGTCATCGGCATAGTATACAGAATCAAATTGCACCCCAGGAATTCGCGCATTCATGACCACAGCTGAACAATTATGTTTCACATCTGAATCAATACAGGTCATCACAAGTAAAAACAAGTACGGACTCAAAGGACATCCTTGGCGAATCCCTGCGTTCTGGATTTTAGTTGCTGAACGGCCATATTCATCCTGCACGTAAAAGGCTGGCGACTGGTATAATCCTTTTATAATGTCAATAAAGTGCCGCGAGAAACCAAGTCGACACATGGAAGCAAACAGCTTATCGTGCTGCACCTTATCAAATGCTTTCTCCCAATCGATCAATGCCAGATAAAACTGTGCGTTTTTTTGTTCGGACCAGTCTTGCAACCTTCGGATTAAATATGTTGCGTGTGCAGTGGATCTGTTAGGCCTGAAGCCGTACTGTGTGGGTGAAACTTTGAATTCCACGGCTTTCTGAACTCTGGCACGGACAAGAGAAACATAAATTTTGTACATTGCATTAAGTAAGGATATGGGTCTGTAATTTGACGGATTATCGATATCACCTTTCTTGTAGATTGGGACCACTCGTGCTAGTAGGATATCTTGCGGAACAGTAGTGTCCGTCCACCAATGATTTAAAATCTCTAAGAGAAACTGTTTATTTTCATTATTCAACCATTTGTACAACTCGGCAGCTATGCAGTCTGGACCCGGCTGTTTATTTACTTTACAATGTTTTAACACTTCTTGCAGCTCCGCTAAAGTAAAGGGAGAACTGTCACACTCTAAGGTATTACCTATGTTCTGTTGCTGGGGTAACGGGCCACGACCGCAGTCGTTGCACCAATGGTGTTCTTCGAGGTAGGCAGCAATTGTTTCAGCACGTTCTTTGAGAGGAACCAAACGACCAGTTTTATCACGCATGCTAATATATGATGGTTTAAAATCTTTTCTTAGATGATTGACGGTTTTCCACAACTTTTTTCTATGTGGATCACTTGGATCTAACTGGAACTGGTTGACCACCTGCCTCTTTCGGTCTGAACGAGCGTGCTTCTTTATCTGCCTGTCAAGAGTTTTGACTTCCTCATGTTTACCCTGCTGATAGGAGCGCTGACGAGATTTTATGAGATTCCACGTGTGAGGGGATAAGTAATCCTTTTTCTTGTGAGGAATCTCTCTTGACAGGCACTTGGCTGCTGCTGTTTCCACAGCACTGTTAAAAAGCTTCCAATGTTCTCCATCATGTTGTTGCAGCAGCGTCTGATATAATCTGGATACTGATTGGTTATAATCCAACCACTGGTCGTTAGAAGGTTTTGCAAATCTAGGCGCTTTATCCATTGTGGCAGGCCTACGGGCTGCCATTTTCATACGAATCTTTAATTCAAGCATATAATGGTCAGTATCCAGATAGATATCAGATCGGCTCTGTACATCCGTGCATTGATTTTTATGCTTACATCTGGTCAACCAAAAATCTAACTGTGCGTATTTTTCAGGTAAAATGGGTCCCCAATTTGAGTGGTGTTTTCCCTGAAAGTCACTTGTTTAGACGCTGTTTTTGGGTAATCCGTGTTAAGAACCCGTAAGTCATTAGCAGTGCAAAAGTCAACGAACAAATCCCTGTTTTCTCTAGTCGTGGGGGCAACCCTTTCCAGATAAGATCTTCCTCGGCCGAATATATGTGGTCCCATAATATTAATTTCATTGCTGTACCTGTGGTGTAATCTAGCAAAAAAAGTCTCCTCCAAGGTAAGTAACGTCATTGAACTCATTGAGCATGCTCTGTAGTGACTCATAAAAAGATTCTTTCGTTTCAGTCGAGTGCCCACTATGGGGGGCGTAGCAGCAAAGAAAAGCTAGATTCATGCCATGAGATCTCAACCGGATAGCCATCATTCTGCCATTGTTTTGCCTGACTTCATATAGAAATGGTTTCAATCTTTTGTGAATGACTATGCCGACTCCAGCGTGTTCCCTATCGTTTTTCCCCGGCTGGATATCACTACTGAAGAGAAAAATGAACTCATCATGGCTTTCAACACTGGAAGAATTAACCTGGTTTCGGTTAGCAACAAAATATCCAAGCATTCCTTTCTCATAACATCCACAATAAGTTGTCTTTTGGTGATACCATTGGGACCACTGAGACCTCGTATGTTTAAGGTAGCGGCTTTTTGTGGGGATCCGTATGGGAGTTTGTGTCCCTTTGTTTTGTGACTCCGAGCTAAAGAGTCTACAGGTTTACAAATCTCCGTATAAAAGCTTTTAAAGGCAGCTTTCATTTCTTTTTTCTTGGCTCGAGTGTATCTGGTTTCCTGAGCCTTTTTAGGCCTTGCCTTCCCGTGTAATGATTTGAAATATCTCCATAGCCTACGCTTATCAGCCCTTTTCCTATTCCTTCTCTTCTGTGTTAAAAACCTATCTTTGGGGAAGGTTATTGGGGGGTTTTCGCTCCCTGCAGACAAGCTGCAGGGATCCCGGCACACCTTATGAGGGTACGGTGTTTTGGTACTCTTTTGGTTTCTTTTGCCATAGGTCTTACCTATTTTGACTTGAATGGATTATGTTTTTAAGGAAAACTTACAGTTTAAACAATGTATGTTCCCCTCAGAAAATGTAGCTCTAAAAGATAGAGTTACCCTCTAAAAATATTCAGCATTGGCTGCAGATTTTAAAAAAAAAAACATAGCCTGGAATAGAACTAGGTCACAATAACCAACAATAACAAACAATAACCAACCTATTAGCCTCTAAAAATAACATACAAAAAAAAAACTATAGTCTCAACAATAACCACCATCCAAGGCGCTGGCCCAAAGTGCCTCGTTGCAGCAAAGCTTGCTGACCTGCTTGGCACGACGCACGCGGAAGGCCACGGACAGGAGTTGGTACCTGGGAACCATGGATAATTGGATCTGATGAATCTCGTGATGGCCATAACCAATGCTCAAGGTGATGTTCACTATTCATTTTATCTCTTATATACATATATATATATATATATATATATATCCGTATATATCCGTGTAATGCAATATAATACAATGTAATGTAGAGTAATGCTATGCTATGTTATCTTATCTTATGTTATGTATGCATGTATGCATGTATGCATGTATGTATACACATTGCGTGTGCTTGGTATGACCTATCCTCTTGAAAATGATTCTGATTTATTACATTTTATAGCTGTATCTACCGAACTCGTGGGTAGAATCATAATCCAATTCTAGCCAGGAGAACCATATCAAAAAAGATGGGGTAGAACAATTATATGTTGGCATTCACAAGCCCGATGTTCTCAAATGGTAAGCTGTAAGCCCACTGTAAGCTGTACAATGATGGGCCTGTACCAATGGAGTTGTGAGTTCAATCCAAACCCAAGGCGGGTCACAATTGCAGGCTCACCAGCCACACCACAAAGAGACCTTAATCTGCGAGACTGCACCCAAATTTCAGGTGTACAAAACAGGATGGGTTCGAAAACCATCCAGCACCAATTGATCAAGGCTTGTCTCAAGTGCAGAAACCGCCCGGCCTCCACCTTACCATTCCCACCAAAAAAGAAAGAACGGCCTCATTTTTATTAGTCATTCCACTACCATCATTTTCTGCCATTTCCAGCACCTCCCTATGTCATCTCTGAGTTCCCCCACGCTTGGATACACTTGGGTTTTATCTGCATCAATTCACCCCAATTTGATTACCATTAACCATACTTGACTCTACATTTACATCCATATATATATATATCCGTATACCGTCCATCATCACATTTCGCGTCAAATCTCTGAGTGTCCCCACAGTTCGGCTCCCACCATGGCACTTTCACCACCTCGCGCAGCTGCTCCACCAGCTCCTTCCAAGCCTTGGTGCTGGCCGCCTGCTGTAGCCCCGGGTGGCAGGAGATCAGCGCGTCAGCGTCGCTGATCTTCCATGGGGAGTCCTTGAGCAGATACGGCCCTGGTTTTAAAGGCAGCAATACTGGGATGAAATAATTATAATGGATCTGGAGATATATATATATATATGTGTGTGTGTGTCTATAGATAGGGGGAGGGAGAGAGCGAGAGAGAGAGAGGGAGAGAGAGAGAGAGAGAGAGAGAGATAGAGAGAGAGAGATTATATATACGGATAGGTATATGTTATCCTGTTGTACATATCTCTACGTATCTACAGTGTCCGTCAGTCTAGCTGTTTTTTCCGTTTATGTTGTTTCTATATTTGTGTCTGTCTTCAGGTAGATGTAAGGTTGATCCTTAGAGGGACGATTCCCCATATTCCTCAGTTTTGTTAATCGAAAGACAACTAATCAAGAGGCTTCTATGGCCAAAGGAATCCATATTATACCCTCTACCCCCTAGAACCTCGGAAGTGAGATGATTCCTGCGAGAATAGGGATAATATATCCTAATTTGTGAATGGTGATTGGCTATGCAATGCGGTGCTTTCTTCTGTTTGTCTTTGCTGTTCACCAGCTGTTCATCAAACATCTTATTTTCGGGCCTTGCCCACTTGAAGAACGCAAGCCTCTTCCAACCCTCCAAAACAAGCTAAACATACACCAACCTGGAACTAGAACCCCTTCCTATGCCATACCTGTGTATACTTGTGTTGCATTGTGTTACCATCTGTTGCCCCAAACCTGCCAAGATTCATTGGAGTTTCGGCCTTGCCAATGGATCCTGCAGATGTGTTTCGGTAGCTGCTCCACCTGAAAATGGCCCAACCGATCTCGGCCGTGCCCTCTGGGAGCACAGCCGCCGCGGGCGCCGCGCTGGGAACGGCGGCGCAACCAATGGATGCCGCGCGCCAAGATGAAGATGATCAGCGGACACGCCAAGGTGGTGGCGAAGCCCACCCGTCCACCGAAACAACTCATGGAAAAGTCCATGTTGTTGAGGCACTTGGGGTTGATCTTCACATCCGGCAGGCCGAGATCACATTCCTTTTTGTGGCGCCAAGGGTATTTCGAAAAGAAAAAGGTGCCCGAGTATCATGAAGAAAAACCATCTTCAGACCATTTTGAGACCCATCTACTCCTTTGACCAGAACACGAAACACAATTCATGCCATGTTAGCTGGATCGTTGTAAACTCCCAACGCGCTGCTTGGCCCATGCCACCCAGGCGCGTAGAGACAAGAGCTGTTGGGCCATGCATCTGCTGAATACACAGCGAAACCTTCCTTGTTGTCGCATGGTCGGCAAGGATTTTCTCCGTCTCCCCAGCTACCCACCTCAGCAGGAAATTCAACTGGATTCTGAAGTCAGCCACAAGCAGATCCAACACGGGGGGCTGCAATATGAGCCCCCAGGAAAGATCAGAAAAGTGCCTGAGACTCCAGAAACTGTTGGATGAAGAGAAAGATCATGCTTGTTCAGGGCCTGTTCGCCCTAAACTCCAAAAGCATTTGCTGCTGCGACCTCTCTTGGGCTAGGTGGGAAAGAAAGGAGGAAGGATCCAATTATTGATATCACCATCTCAAACAACAAGTGCAGCTCTGCTGCTGGACATGGCAAGCAAAAAGGCCCTGCGTGGCCTGACGGCTGACACGAGCCACGCTGAGCGCAGGTCTTCCGTTCGAATTTTCATATCCAAAGATTTCAACACATCAATGGAAACCATGGGCCAGTGCCATGATCTTTGCGCACCTTTGGTCCAAAAGAGTCCAAACTTTGGTCAATCTTGGGACACTGACCATCACTGACCAGGGGCCAGCTGCGGCCAGCTGTAGCCACTCCCCCGCCTTCCTGGCATGGCACCAAAGAGGTCGCCAAGCCGGGGCGCCCAATGATCAAATTGCGCCCTTTCTGCGGCAGGGCATCCGCGCAGCCGGTGGTCAGCTGACCTCCTGCCACATCCTCACAACGGGATGCCATGGTGAAAAATATCATGGGCAAAAAATGCAACTCCAAAATGTACCAAAAACACATAGCTTTGGGTCTTGGGTGAATTTTGGAGGGTTATTGGTGTTGATCTGACGACTTTCAATGCTGGATAACATCCAAGCATCCAACTCAATCTCGTGAACGCTGGTATTGTTGCGTTTCAAGCCGATGAATCCACCACCACCCGCACCTGATCGAAAATGCTGGGAGAGATGTGGCCAACAAGAAGCAAAGTATAAATTATACATGTACAAGATCACTTGAAAAGTTCAACTTCAGAAATTCGCAAACCTTGGATAGTTTTAAAGCAAATGTGGCTTGAACATGAGCTGTCTCATTGACACTTTAAACCTCCCCAAACCAACGCCGAGTCAGGACCTCCCACAGCTGGCGACTTCGCAATGCACTGAGCATGTCCACCTCTGGCAATGAGTCGCGGCACTTCGCACTCCAGGGTTCCACTGACTGCGTCATTGCCACTGACTGCGTCATTGCCGCAGAGGAAGTCGAAGCGGTTGCTGATGGCAATGATGTGCCCACCAGCACCACCCCCAGAGGCCAGGGTCCACGAAGCATAGCGCAGGATACCACCATTGAGCCCTGAAGCTGAGATACCTCAGACCGTGAAACACAGGGATGGGAGGCAACTTGCTTTTCAAGTGACTCAAGGCAAAGGTTATGTCAAGTTGAGCACGGAGAAACCAACAAAAAACCTCCTACTTTCCTCTCCCCTTCGTCCATGCCAGGAGATCCATCGAGTGCAAAACTCCGAAGGCGTCCAAGGTTCAGAAGGGCATAGCCACAGGATCCAACTCAAGATTCTAGCGATCGGTATTCAACCATGCCAAAAAGATCTAGTTTAATCCATTACGTGCATGTATATATACATATATATATACATATGCATGTACATATACATATCCATATGCATATGCATATACATATACATATACATATACATATGCATATGCATATGCATATACACATACATACATACATACATACATACATACATATATACATACATAACATAACATAACATAACATAACATAACATACATACATACATACATTACATACATACATATATATATACATACATATACAGTATATTTATACATATCCATATCCATATCCATATACATATACATATACATATCCATATCCATATACATATACATATACATATACATATATATGTACATACGCATATACACAATGTATATATACGTACATAATCTATGTACATGATTATCTTACCAAGTTTGCCGCGTTCCCATGGGATGAACAAATTCAAATCACCTACCAGCTGAGATGCGAACACCACCATATAGGATGATGGTATGGGCCGAGAGCCAGACCAATCCACCACCTTCAGACCCAGCAGAATTCCCAAAATGAGATCAAATTACTGGGAGAAATCAATTATCTCACCCTCATCTTTTTAAGTTTCAAAGAAACTCTGAGACCCCCCAAAATTGACGCAAACAAATTAAGCGTGGTTTCAGTGGTTTCGTATTAGGTTTACCCCGCTACAGAGTTCGTTCTGGTCCACTGGTAAAGCCCTTCCAACTTTCAACCTTCCTTGTGGGTTCCCTTACCGCAAGGACGAAACATGACGAAACACTCCTGAGCTAAAACTCCTGCCTATACAAGTGCTGTTGCACGAGTGGTGATTCTGACTAATAAACATTAATAAACTAAGTTATACCTAGGGTAGACACTTTGGTGTGTCTGTGTTTATGGAACCTCGACCCATCCCACCTGACGACACAGGCGTGGTGAGCGCTGACATGGCGGTCTTGCATTGAGCCTGCGGCACTGCACAGCCTCCCCCAGCGGCACCCGCCATTGGCAGCGCCGTCTCAGAGAAATCGAAGTGCCTGACAGCTGCCATTTTTGACAAATGATTCATTATGAGATATAATTCATAATTCCCAATAATATGATTGACAACATTGAGATAACAAATGATACATCATTAATCTTTATGTTGGTCTATAATTAGCCAACAATGTGATGTCTGTCATTTGAAGTGCGAACATGATGATAAACGCATTGGAAGTGGTGCCCATATATAGTATCACGTAGACACAGAGAGGATTCAAGGATCACAAAGTCATGCAGTTCACCCACAAAAGCGCGAAGAGCCCGCGCCAATCCTAAACAGATGGTATAATATAGACCCAAA